GGCACGAGACGGAGCAAACACGTTTGTTCGGCGTTTCAAATGATGTCGAATCGTATCGACGGTTAACATGGTATGGATATGTAACAAGTTTATCTCGCCCTGGGTAATCATAAATGGCTCTGGATTTCGCGTTAGAGCAGGAGATGGTCGTCGAATCAAGTTATATTGGTAGGAGTTATGATTAACGACTTGAGTGAACATCATTCGTGGCGATAACTTCGCTCAGGATAAGTAAATACGTGATCATTTTGCTGATTTTTATAGTTTTTTCGTAAAAATTTATTGGATCGACTATAATTTTCAATTCATGGGTATCACCGTTTGTGTGAGTTGTTAAGTAATAGTTTGAATGAATCGCAAGGTGTTCCTTTAGTATTCGTTAATTACATACTGACGGTTTCGGTCGGATCTGTGTTGTAGTAAGTGGCTTAATCCGGTTAGTAGGACCGTTCCGTTCTGATATGATCCGATTGGTTCCGGTGATACTGATTAAGCCGGATCTACCATGAAATCGAGCGTCATGCGGCACGGCGGATTCCGGTAAAGTTTCGTTACCGGATATTGTCGGATCACGTCGGATACGGCCCAATCGTATCATCTAACCTGATATTTTCCGGCAATATAAATCTGACCGGTTCTCGGAGAATCCGGCAACCAGATTTCAGAAGAAAACAAGGAAAAGCATCGGAATTCGCCAGAAATTAACCGACCGAATCCGATCACCATGTGACATCGGAATTATAACCTGCTCGACAAGAACCGACGGATCGATAATGACCTGGGTCAAATCTATAGTTTTCCTGATTAAAATTTATCCATAGCTCGCAAAGAATAATTCTGAAAGCGAGATAATTAAATATTCAACAGACAAAACAGATAGATAAATATACTTTAAATTTCATTTAGAAGGTGCGGTTAGTATCCAAGTAGAGAAAAAAAATTTATTTATTTATCGTATTCCAGTATGATCAAGAAAGTCAATGATAAGTTATTCTTTTTTGTTCACTTTTTCTACGATGATTAGTTTGATCAAAGTTGCAAACTGAGAATATAAAGACCGATGAGAATGAATTTGAAGAATAATCGAAATCAGCAATGGCAAAATTTTGAGAAAATGTCACTTGTCCTACCCAAAGTCCCGTGGACAGATGCCGCCATCAGTAAGGTCCTATGACGGGACTTTAGGTTGAGGGCGAAGGACTTTTCACAGGACTTTAGGTAAAGTGGACATTTTCTGGATCTTTGACAGCCCTCATCGAAATCGATCAGAACTAATGCGATATTTTCTATCGTATACGATTGTTTGAAATTATGAATCATCTTAATACAAAAATAAGTAATCGAAAATGAGAATTTTCATAGAAAATTTCGTAAGATGGAAACATTTCTGATCGGCAAGTAGACAACATCATTTTAGAATACTTTTAGCACGGTGAGATTGACGCATGTAAAAGCATCTCGGTCCTTTTTATAATACACAAATCTGTCTTATTATTGTTTTTCTCTTGAATGAGTGAAGTTTCGCATAATATGATATTCCTACAGTTATTTTCAGAAAACTTATCAAGACGATCTAGTTTTTCATTCGATATCAAAAGAACTTTTAATGTTTTGTTTAAAAACGTTTTCACCGAAATATATTGATGCAATGGAAAAATCAACAGTTTAATGTACCAATAAAAATACGGTTGGGAATCATTAAGATTTATTTTATTTGTGTTCGGCGATAGAAAAAAATGCAAAGCTCTACAATAAAATTTTGTCCATATTAGCAAAATCAGTTGAATATAACTTGAAATTGAGTACTTTGGGGCAGAGTACGTAATTCATTTTGAATTTCTTTTATTTTTTGAGACATTTCGTCGTCCGATTCCATACGTCCTAACACTCGTAGCGTTATTTTCGCTAAACAAGGGCAATAACTTGTCATTCTTATCCATTCTTTTAAATCCAATAGTTTGCTTATGCTATCCATGTTTGTAATTAATTGAAAGTATTGAAGACTGGGCATATATTTGATCAAATCAACTATGGTTATCAAAAAACATGACGGCCATTGGTTTGTACAATCACTTGTTGGAGATAATGGGAAGTTACTCAGATCAAAAAGAAAATATTTGATTTCATAGGCTCCGCAGAATGCAATCTTACATTGATCTGGATTAGAATGAGAACAAACATATCCTGGACAATGAACTTCAAATCGTTTTATTGAATAATTCAGGTATCCAAAAAGATCATGGAACAAAGTAAAATTAACTTCACTGTCATACCAAAGACAAAGATTCTTTATCTGAGGGAAGTAATTTTGGTATATATTGATTAATTTGATGTCTGGGAAATTGAGTAGAGTCAATGTGAAGATATCACTAAAACTATTTAATCGAGATAGATCTTGTTCTGTACAAAACCAATTGGTCGTAAGACGTAAAGAAATAACTTGTTTAGCTTTAAGTTTGGGAAGAATCGTGTTGATAAATAAATTGTCCGGATCACAAATTTCCACTGGTGTTTCTCTCTCACGTAACAAAGGAAGTATATTAATGGTAAATGCATTGATCGCATCATTCAATGTGATATATTTCACTATACGATGAATGGCATTTCTACCAAGGCGAGTTTGTATATTGAGATAGTATGACTAAAATAAGAGGAAATAAAAGAATACTTGAATCTATTTGATCATCATAAATACTTACGAATGATTGTTCATTTTCGTCACATTCGTTTTTGAAAAAAATCAATTCCTCGAGTACATTTTTTCGATTTGATATCACTTGATTTCTTACTAAAACGTCACCTTCGAGTAACAATTCTGACTGGTATCCGAATACGAACGAGTCACCTTGTCGCGCTTGAGCTATTCGCTTAATTCCAAGAAGTTTTGGATATTTATTGACGTCAAAACTATTTATAACCTGATCTGGAAGAATCTCTTGCAAAATGTTTGTCAACCTAATTAAAAAGATGTTTTCGTTAGAACAACACGTACAAATTTTGATCGATTCAAAATATTGAATTTCCATATCAATGGATGATAGGTAACTTACCTATTTCTATTTCCTTCTAAAGTAACATCACATGGCCACACAATATAATTTTCAAGTAAATACTCGATGATTGTTCTCGAACAAAATATATTCTCACAAAATATGTTACTAAATATACTTCTACCATGGTGGATATAGACAAGTACCGGGCGAAGCTGAAATTCGAATAGATATATGTTTGTTTCGTAATTATAAGAATATATATGGACGAACTTCTTCAGTAGCTGTGGACATGAAAGCTGCTTGACATGCTTCTATAAGCGAACCCATATAGAAGGCTGTGCAAGCATCATAACGCTGATAGAAACATTTAGCCATAGCTTCGACAGCAGCAACTTCGTTTGGATACTCCATGGGAACTATTGGATGATTTATCAGGGTAAAAAAATCACGCTTTATATTATCAAAAAAAGGATAACTCACGAGCCTTAGGTGGAATGGTACAATCGTCATCACGGAGACCATCAGTGTCATCTTGAGTTGGTTCGTTTTCCTAGATAGAGAAGTAAATTGCATTCGTATTGTGTATTCTAGTGTAGTATTTTGGGATCAAAACTTTCTTGAAAGCTTCACAGTCTCGAAGTTTAGCATAAATATAAAAGGGTGTTGTTGTCAGCTTTAAAATTATGCTTACCATTGTAACCGCTGATGCTTTAGTTAGGAATAGAAAGAATAATTAGAAATTTCGACCTCAGCTATATAGTTCTACAGAAAAAAAGAAAAGAAAATGAGATCGTTGACTGACAATTAAAAAGAGTTTAAATATAATTCTTTTAAGAAAAAACCCAGTTTTATTTTCCCCACTACATGAAATGGATGATGTTGTAAGGTAATACTATTTTTCTGTTGGAGAAAGAAAAAGGAAAAGGAGAACGCAAAATTAGGCGTGCACAGGACATCATTTCTTTTTCTGTCGACTACCTTGTTCCTGGCGGGCGGCAGGGCAGGACGAAAATCGAAACCTTATCCTGTGCGTGTTTGCCCTGTTGGTAATATTCGTCCTGGTGGGCGGCAGGACAGAAAAACAGGACCGCCCTGCCCTGTAAACGTCTCTGATACACGTACAGACCTGCGACGCTCAAAAATGTGAAACCAATTTTTTTGTTTGTTCTGTTTCAATGTTGAGCCCTCCGACGAATATGAGGTTTTGAGCACTCAACATCTGTTTTATCAAATATCTAATTTCAAGCTCTACATTAGAAACAATTGAGTTTTATAAAATTTCTAAGTTGGAAAATTTTTCAAAAAGAGATTTTAAAAATGTTTCGTTCACTAAACTACGTTAGAAAACTAACGTATACTGGGTAAATAGGTTCTGAAAAGCGTCTAATACAAATTCATCAAAAGTAACAAGTAAGAACGGTATCTACAATGCTATACTAGAGGAAAGTCGAAAAATTATTGACTTATGAATTTCGAGTAAATCAATCCACCCTGGTAATCCTTTGCCGAATAAAAAAATTAGCATGATGCATGTTTCTCAAATTTTTCTTAGAAAATGAAAGGTTAGTTTTAGGGTATACCTTGTCAACTTTGAGAAACATGAAATCGCAGTTCTTAAAATGTAGCTAGATAAACGTAGATAAGCTGTCGGAAACAAAATGCAGACAAGAAAAAAATCAGCGATCTTGTTCCCTATTTTTTTGTCGAAAACCTGGCTACTAAAAATCGCGTCTACTTTCGCGCTAATTTATTCGTTTAAAGCGGTTACAACATATTTGCATTTCAAGATATGCTGATTAAAGCACAGAAGCAAGTCATGTGCAACGTGATGTTTTTAAATCACTCAAAAATTCATGTTGTGTTTCGTTCAAGCGAAAGAGTATAAATATTTCATTGGGACCGAAAGAAAAAGCAACATTGATAATCTCCACACTCTAATTTTGCTCATTGAAAATTTTTCGTATTCATGTAGATATTTCTTTTCCTCGTACAGAAGCTTCTACAACTCTAAGAATCTAAGTGATCTTTCGTCGTCCTTATTACTTTTGAAGTATAATACACAAAGATCCCCTTTTGGAAGATATAACTTCTGTTTTTAATCACAATTTATTTCATTCTGAACGACATTTAATGGACAGTCTTTTTCAAAATTTTTGAATCTAATGATTCCTACGGCTTATTTTCTTGTTGTTCCTTATGTATCGCCGTCACATGTTGTTCAGTGTTGTATGTGTAAGAAAAAGTTCCTAAAAAGATTTTCATATATATATATATATCTGTTATTTCGTAGGTAGGAACGATACTATTTGTACGACAGGTACATTTTTAAATGTTCTTTTAAATGTATGCAAAAACAGCGATGACAAAACTACTGTGAGATTTTTCTATATCTTACTATCACCTGCTGCGCCGCTACGATACGATGGGTGCAACAGCATTTAAAAGAGAATATTTTTCAAGCGCAACCATTCCTTCGTTTAGGATGAACAAATCTAGTTCTTGAGTCCTAAATTCGATGTACATACACATCTCTCTTAGTTAATATATACTAGTCGAATTCAAATGTACTTTTTCTTTAATTCATCTATTTGGGAATGAATGCGCTTACAGCTGTTTCGCTGTCTTTCATTGAAAGACACATCATCGAATTCAATCAATAGTAATTTGGAAAAAAAAGCTTGTCTTTTTGATAATGCCCGACAATGACGAATCATGAGACTAGAATTTCAGCAGCAAACGAAATCGATTATCGACTTTCAGATTGTGATGAAAAAGTGAATAAAGAAAAAACAGAATGATATTATCTACTAGATCGATAAGAAGGGCGTGGATGTGGATATCAACTTGTGGTCCCCGTACTTTTAAAACGACCTTAGTTTATTTTCGTTCGCTTATCTCTTTCCATATGTAGAATAATATTTATTCTTTTAGAAAAATAGCGAGTACTTTTAATGTTGTACTGGTTAATGCCAGTTGATTGTGAAATGAAATGTATTTTTACTCATTGCGGATCACAGTATGAAAAAGCTAATGCAACATCAGTTGATGAAAATCTCATTTAAAATTTTAAAAATGGTCCACTATCGGAAATATGATGGCATTGTATATAGTTTAATTGAATTATTTTTTGAAGTATCTTGATTAAACTACGATCGGTAACGATAGATTTTCTCTCTCCACTATAGTCAATATATCAGTTATAGAACAAGACCAAACTATCGATGCTCATCTCACCTAATTGAAAAATCTCATCATGCGGTCAGCAAAGTAAATAAAATGAGTGACGGTAAATGAAACTACTAGAATCCAAAGCTAATTTTGAAATTTTACATGAACATGCGACAGGAACGAGAGATTACATTAAGTGCCAACCATCAAAAATAAAGTTTGATTATTGAGTGAAATCCACAAATCGATAATGATGTAGAGATTAATAAGAAAGTTAAACAAAATTCGATTAAAGTTCGAATTTCTCCTTAATATATATATATATATGAAACTGGATTTTTCGCTCCATCGAACTTTCTTACATTATCTGTGATTATTTTGATACAGACTAACACAGATGTTTTTGATAAGCAGATACTAATGATTTGTGAGACTTGTAGATGTTCAAAACATTCGATAATTCAGTTGAAGGCTTCAAAAAAATCATCTTCATCAATATTGAATCATTGAAATTTCTTGATAACAGTCTGCTTTAACAAAAACGGCTGTCACCGATAGTAGGAAAATTTCGTTGTCATCTAAAAGACAGAAACAAATCGATCGCACGACTTCATCCTATTCAAAACCATAAGATTCTATTCCCATTGAAGGTACACTTTTTAACGTCACTCTCAAACACACGCGTCTATTTTTCTTGGACCATCACATGCGTAAACGAAGCCGATGAGATATTCTGCATATGGTGTGATCGAATCGAGTATAAAAGGCAGCAACGAAAGCGAGCAATTCCAGTGATCCAAGCATTCAAAACAGCCAATCAAGCACTTTTCTCGAAAGAGTCTTAAAATTAATTCAATTTCAACAATGATCAGCCTCGTCAAACTCATGTTTGTTATCGTCTGTGCCTTGCTCCTCGCAGCAAGTGCCATTGCTGCTACTGTTAACTGCGAGTCCGTTGGTGATTGCGCGAATAGTTTACCACCTGCATGTGCTAGTACCGCTTATGGCTATATTTGCAGTGATGGTAATAAATATTGTTACTGCGAATAAACGTTAACCACGTATGTATTTTACAGTACCGACAAATAATTTATTAGCTTTCTTTTTACTAATTTAGAGGAATGCAACACACATGTATCAATTAACAAACATCATCGACTGACATGACCAAAGTTTTTCTAGAGAGAATCTACTTCATTAGTTGTTCATGCTTCTTGTATTTTCGATCTCTCTATTCTAATCATTTGATTTGAATAAAATATATGTGTGCTAAATAAAATCGTCTTTTCAAATCAACCAACAGTGTTTCCAATGGAAATCTAGAACAAAATGTACATGTACACTTTGATTATATATACAAAGTGTATGTGTACATTTTGCTTTTAGTGCCAGAGTGTACAAAGTGTACCAAAAGCAAATTTTTAAAATCCAAAAAGCACAAAATAATGTTGTTTTTTCCGCAAAAAATATAAAGTAATACTTGATAAATGAATAAATGATACATAGACGTACTATCTCATAATCTGACACGTTCCTTGGCAAAATTACAAAAAAAGGTTTACAAAAACAAAAAGTTAATATGTATTTTTTTCAAATAGTATATTCTAAAAATATGAATTATTTTCGTCTTCATGATGATGCAAAAAGGATGTAGAGAATTTTGCAGATTTTAACGTGTGTCCCATAAAGAATGGCCTTCTCAGTATTCCCTCAACAACTTCTTTATTTTTTTCAGCTCTCTGGCTTCAGTTTTTGTCCTAACGATCCACCTTCCAATTCTACGCTAGACTTGTATCAAAAGTTTTTCTGAAGAAGGCTGACCAGAAAAGTAAAACAATAATACTGAACAAGTAGAAAATAACTAACATTCAAAGCTATTTTCAAAATAAACTTCAGAAGATTTTTTTACAATACTAGCATAAAGAAAACCAAAGTCAAGAGGCTTTTGAGTACATTCAAGTTGGCTCTTTCTTGTCCTGCAGCGCAACGTTGGTTTGAATCATATCCTAGAGTAAGAAATCTGGCTTTATAATAGGATTCAAAATGTCCGAAACTCACTATTTTTCACCGAAGGAACAGAAGTACGGTTTGGATTAACTTTCGTCTCTGTATCTGATACAATAATCGTTTTTTGTCGAAATAAGGAAAATCTGAACCCAAAAGACGCTATTTTGGCTTATTCACGCCTCTTTTTTTAAAAGCTCCGAAACGGCAGTCTAAAACAGCTAAACTCTCACAAATCTGAAAAAGAAGATTATTGATGAACGTCACAAGAATGACCATTATCAATTTTCAAACTAGAATCGTTCGATAGAGCTTTTTGAGGGTTACAAAATGCCTATATGTTATTCTATCTATTTTTATCGTTAGTAGCTTAATAGAAAAATCGAAAAAATGGGTTTTGAGATTTGAAAGTTGATTCTTGTGTACGTGTTCAGTATTATTGTTTTCTTTTTTTGCTCAACTTTCTTCAGAAAAGCTTTTCATATACGTCTTATGTAGAATTAAATAGTAGATCTTTTGGAAACAAATTGGAGCCTAGAAAATCAAAAATGAAAAAGTTATCGAGGAAATATTGCGAAGGTCATTCTTTATGGGACATCCGTTAGAATCACAGTGTAAATTCTTTTAGCAAGATGTACACTGTACATTTTGTTTTTCTGAGCAAAATGTAAATCAGAGTGTACATCAGAACTAGCAGATGTTCTGTACATTTTGCTTCTGCTGTGTACACCTGCTATTGGAAACACTGCATACCTTAATCCACTCTCCCCCAACGACTCCCCGGGGAGTCCCCGCAATATAACGAAATCCCTGGGGAGTCCCTGTCGTGAGTCCCGAGGACTTTTTATTTGGGGGACTCCCCGGGGATTTCTCTGGGAAGAATTGATGAAGTTTTTTGAAATAAAAAAAAAACTTTTTAATTTTTTTAATTTTTAAAAAATTAAGAAGAATTTATTAGTAATTAAGTATTTCATCGATTTTGACCAGATAACTCCCCGGGGAGTTCCCAGGTAGTCCCCACAAAAGAACGAAATCCCTAGGGACTCCCTGGGGATTCTTCTAGGGAGAGTTGACTAGGGGTATACTGCCGCGACTGTTGTAGCAGCCAGCAACACATAATACAGATCCGCTAATAACCTACAGATAGAGCTTTTCGAAACCTGCAAAATGATCATAAAACATTCAATAAAATATTCTGTACTCGACAAATCCAGCGGCGTAGCCAAGGGAGGAACAAATGGGCAATTGCCCATTTCATTTGGAGATTTTCCCATTGTAACTTTTATTAGTAAGTGTTTGGCCATTGAAATTTTACCTTTTCAGAGTTGTTTATTCATTTTTGTATTAGATAGTAATTCTATTATTTTTCTTCCATCCGAACCACACATGCACTCCTTGCTTGTTCTTTCTGTGAAAGTTTTAGAAAATAAGGAGAAAACAATCGTTTCTGGTATTTTAACCAGGATTACCAGATGAAAACTTAAAACTTAAAAATCAGAAATTCTTGTTTTCAAAATTTAAAAAAAATCAGAATTTTTTCTCCAAACTCGGAAACTATAATCAGAAAGAGTAACTTTTTGCAAACCAATGGCTGTCACGTTGACATAATTACTTGGGCAAAATGCTTTATTTATCTTTTTTATCGACTCATACTTTATTTCCAAAAGTATTTCATAGTAAAGAAAGACAATGCAAATATTATATCGCTTAGAGTAAAAGATCGTGTGCTGTAGGCTAAGAAGATTGATTATAGTAGGATCAAATGAATGCTCTCACTGTCAAACTAACTAGTTAAAAATATGAGCTGCCACTAGCGTACACAGACCGAGATATTCGAGTTTCAAGAAATTTACAGTTTATTGTGTGTCCACACTACGAAATTTCATCAACGCATATAGTTTTCTTTTTTTAGCCATGGTTGGATGGAGCACTACCATTTGCATAAGAAACAACAATCTCACGCATATTAAAAAGCAAATTTTACGAAGTCGAAGGCAACATGTTTTTAAATATAAGGGTAATAAACAAAATATTCTAGTTGCTGCCAAACTGCTGTTGAATATGCGTGATATTGTTTCTCCTTATGTAAATAGTTGTGTTTCATCCAACTATGGCGAAAAAAGAAAACGAAGGGTCGATGAAATTTCGCAGTATGGCCACATGATAAACTGTAAATATTTTGAAATTTAAACGTTTTGGTCTGTATAGGCTATTGGCAGTTCATGTTTTAAACTAGTTGGTCTGCGAGTGAGAGCATTCATTTGATTCAACTATGAACAATCTCCTTAATTTCCAGTTAATTAGATAATTTCAATAAGTGAGAAATCGAGTAAATCTTTCACATTTATTCTCATCAACTCATGGTGCTGGATAAATATAGACTCTTCAAAATGTACCAGTAGCAAGAGATTCATTGTGTATTATGGGGTGGTAAGATTTATCATGAAACAAGAAATTTTCTAATTTTGTAGAACCGGGCGAGTTCATATCAAGTGAAAATAATTTAAAACATAGAGAACTAAGCATACAAAACTAAAACATGCGAAGAAATTTACCATTAGAACATATTGAATCTTTAAGTGAAATTTCCTCTGAAACACTAAGCTCATGTCTGAAATCATTTAGAAAAAATGCTCATCATACACATAATTCTTAAATTAGCTCGTTCTCTTATACAATATTAAATGATTCTACCATGTTTTGCATTTCTCTTTGAAGCAGTGTTTTATTTTTATAATTGAATTATATGATAATAAATGAGTAAACTGGTATTGTCCGAACTAGACATAGAAACAAATTTCACAGTGACTGGCGCATAATGACACACATTATAATCCATCACCATGTCAGCATAATCGACTGAAAAATCTGCTATATATCAGTTTATAGGAAAAATTATCAGGGCGCAGGACAGGGCAGAGGAGGACTGCCCTGTGACGGTCTCTGGTATACACATAACACGACAAGTTACATCAAATGATATTCGAACTAACTTTCCAACTCACACAGCTTCCGAGATAATACTTTGTTTGAAAATCTTTTATTTAAAATGATCATTTATTTTCATTTAATTCCTTTGATAGTTGGAAACGGAATTGTACTTAAATAGATCCCTCTGTAAACCGTTTGAAGAATATAAAAGAATCCCTAGATATCGGATCGATTTGTTTACAAAAACATTAAAATTTTATTGAAAAGTCTTTTTTTTGGCAATATTCCACTTTTTTCCGGTTTTTATAGAAATTATAGGAAAATTGACCAAAATATAGAAGAACAATAGGATTTATTTGAAATATAGAAAATATAGGACGAATCTGAGGCCAAGATAAGACGGTGCGACTCTGGATATTACACTCTAAGAAGCTAAGCCATCATACAAGCCATTTCGAACCGAACTTATACTCGTTCATTATCAAATATGTTCAGATCTATCACTACAGCTCAACTAAATTTTTTCGAATTATAAATGTTCATTGAAGTCTTTTTCAAAAGACTAACAAGCCGATAAAAGATCGGTCTCTCGTCAAACCTCTGCATTACATTAGATATGAGAAAATGAGGAACAAATCTTCAATAAAAATTATCAAATTCGAATAAAATTAATACAATCTCTCGGATGTGGGTTGTGTGTGTTAGTTTTGTCGTTACCCATAGCCACACTCACACCAACAGCCCACACCCTCTACTAATGAATTTGCTGAAAAATGATTACATTGAACTATTGACTAATTTTATTTCTAAATAAAACAAGATATATTCGCAGAAAAATTACACTATTCATCTATAACTAAGTGCTTTCCTGATTATACTGGTTTTGTAAAGAGTAGTTTTGATCGTTGTTATCTCAAGTCCTAATACATATGAATCTTCCGATCATTATAGTCAAGAACAGTTTGACAAACAAATACATATATACGCATATAACACCTGGAACAGACACAGAAATTATGCAATTTATCTTTGCGGCTACACTATATATGATTATACAAGTGAATTCCTCCCATAATGTCAAACTTGAAATATTAAAAGACTTCCATGGTAGTAACTATTTTTATGAATAACACGATGCCTCGTGTGAAATAATTACAACTGTCATTCAAGAATACGAATACAATCTCCTTTGGATCCTAATTTGATGACTGTTGTCCAAGGTAATGGACAACATTCAATATCAATCTTGAGTTCGACTTGTCGTCTAGTCTGATGATGTTGTAACTGTATCTGTCGATCATCGCAATCTATTGTCAATGTCACTTCATCACCCGTAGTAATAAATTGCTGATCGTCGCCTTTTTGAACTTCACCATTGACAACAGTTCTAGTCAAATCCCATCATCCATGAATAGATGTGGCGTTTTCATCATTGTCTCGTACGCTTTCTAATGAGGAAGTAATCCCAAAGAAGATAGGCGAATTTCCAATTTTTTCAATCTGATAATCTAATCGATGTGCGCCAGATGAGTAACGACCACTACCATAAATAGTCGGATAAGAAACAAACCATGTATTACATGTAATGACGCGACATTCTTCAGATGTGATCGCTTTTCCGACAATCTGGTCAAATCTTTCGCTAGGATGAGTTGAATTTTCAACGGTAGCAGTATGATTTGCGAAATTTTCCGTGGCAAAAGTTGATGCCTGATTATGTACACTAATTAAAGGCATTACTAATGTTTCATTTTCAGTGATAAGAATAGTCGGTGGTGATTCTATTGTTTTGCGCAACATTCGTAACTGTCCAGTCCATTTTTTAATATCTATTTCTGTATAATCATCGCATTCTCGACTTGATCTAAGTTCGTCTGCAAGATTTTTAATTGATTTTTCAATTTCATTCTTAGTTTGATCGAGTAATTTCCGAAGAAGAGTTCGTGCGGTTTCTGCTATCATTTGAATCGTGTTAACAGCATCTTGTTGCCATTGATTGATTTGTAGCAGCAGAGGATGCTCTGTAAATTTTCTATCTAAATTATTACGAAAAAGATCATGTTTTTGATCTAAACTCTCTACTTCAATGGCAAGTTCTTGTCGATGTTGATTAAAATGATCGATACAATACGCTTGTTGACAACCATTACATGTCGTTATTCCACACCCTTTGCTGCATTTTACACATGGAGATTTCATATCAACTGATTCCATAATTGTATTTAAAGACAACAGCTAATAATGTCTGATAGAAAATAAAAATAAAACAAATCCATACAATTTCAACCTATTTCTTTTTGCTTCATTTTAGTACAAAAACAGTCAACCACATGGATAGAATAAATATTATGCGTCGAATCTTTTCTAGAGAAAGAGAGAAAATTAAGCATATTCAATCATGCCTGGTGCAAAATATATTAAAATGCGCCATACATAATTGTATAAAAACATATAGCTTTGCAGACTATCCTTTTCGATTGCGTACGTACAGACTCATTGGTTTATTTCGTTGGTATAACTATATTTTTAAGTGAGTTAAAAAAATATGATTGGTGTAGAACAGCGACATCTATGCAACGGTCGCCATGTGTATGTTCATTGGTTCATCTCAGTATAAGGCACGAAACAAAGGCAACGAGAAGCAATTCTCAACCATCAATAAAAAAAAAAACATTTAAGAGAACAATTTGCTTTTTCCTTCAATTTGTTTTTGCTTAACAAAATGTCTCTTAACACTTCAATGCAAATGCTCACACTTGCATGGAATGGAAAACGTTTTAAAGAATCAAAATCTGCACGTAATGCAGCTCGTCGAAGTATTTTTCGTGCAACAACTAGTAAGTTGGAAACATTTTAAAGTCAAGTTACCTTATATTTTATCTATTTTACAGTTTTACTCAATTCTGAAATGAAAACACTTGAAATTCAAAATAATGAAATTAATCACGAAATCGATCGATGTCGACATGATCTACATAAATATGATAATAAATTACAAATGCTTGATAATATGACACATTTGGCTACACAATCTCTTGAAGTTTATTTTCAAGCCGTAAGATACGTTATTTAGTGAGAAAAGAAAGTACATTAGTATTCTTTTTTTTATTAGCGTATGGAAAATTTAGGTGCATTTGTTACTGAACAATGTCGTATTATATCGGATGGTATTCAAGAAGAAGCTGATCATTGGAAAGAAATACATGCTATGTTACAACAGTAAATTAATATCACGAGTATCGCAACATGATTTTATCTTTATTTTTCTTTTATAGAAAATTAGTTGTACCAGGTGATCTACGTTCTTATGGTGGTGGCAATGGATTACCTCGTCCTGTTAAACAAAGTCCAAATTTTAGTCGTATTGCTGAAGAAGTTGAAGAAGAGGAAGAGGAGGTGGGAGAGAAAGAAGAGGTAGAAGAAAAGGAAACTGATGTATCTACTCTATTGGTAAGTCTCTCATTGATATGAAATGCTTCTAACAGATACGATAAGAAAATGTTTTTATCTTCTAGCAATCACGAACACTAACACCGTTACTTACTCAAACATTAAAAAGTAAGTTTATCTAGATGGTAGTAACTGAGAAATAGCTTTATTTCTTTCAGACGCACGCTTACTTGCATCAAAATTATCTCAAAATACATCAATAGTTATTCCACCGGAATTGAATATGTCAAAAACGATTGTTGAAGAACCACTACCGACTGCTAATGTATCAGACAATCACGTTACATTACGTGATGTTTCTGTTATTGAAAAAGCCGCTGAAGTCGATCATGAAATACCGAATCCAGACTTGTCTATGTCTCTGTTACCATTTATTCCAACGACAAATGCTGATGAAGAAAAACAAAATAATAAATCAATCTGTTCAACTATTTCCGATAAGACATTTGTTAAAACTTCTCTTAAACAATTTTCATCAGATGAAGATTCTGATGACGACGACGACGAGGATGATGACGAAGACGATGATGAAACTATTATTGAAGATAGTTTTAGTACTAATGTTATCGAAAACAAACGACCATTATTATTAACGGCTGATCGATCTATTCGTAGAATAATTACACCATTGCGAACAGAAAAACATTCATTATCACATATAATGAGTATTGAAAAACCAAAATTTAAACAAGAAAAAGTCAGTTTTCGAGAACCATTACCTATCGTAAAAAGTCAATCAAATAAAACTTTGCCACCAAACAAGAGCACAATCGAGATTGAAAAGCTAATGATTAAACAAGAAAACTTCAGTTTTCGTGAACCATTACCAGTTGACAAAAATCAATCGAACTTTAAATTATTATCAAATAATAATACATATGATCTCGATAAGACAACAACTGAACAAGAAGTCAGTTTTCGAGAACCATTTCCTGTCGAAAGCAAACAAAAAGAAAATACATTACCATTACATGATACTACAGCTGATAATGATAAATCATCTCATGTTCATTCGACGACTATCACCAATTCTAATACATCGAAATTATTACCAATCAAATCTGCTGATTCGTAAGAAAATTTCAATGCTTTAATATATTATTTTTAAATGAAAACTTATTTAGAAGTGAGGAAGATGAAAAACTAGATGTAATACAACCATTAGCACTGAAACCAATTCATCAAGAACTATCAAAACCAAACAAAAGTCCAATGGTTGAAAATCCTGTGAAGCGAAGAGCAACTCGGCGAGCTACCATTCGAATTCTTCGAGAAAATCAAAATGGTAAGAAATGAAATAGTGCTGATCGTTCACAATGAATCATTGTTACTTATTTTAGATAATTTACCGACACTGCCACCACCACCACCTGTGGAAATGCCAACAAAAACTCGTTATCAAACTCGGTATTCTACACGATTGGCGGCTACGGTTACGAATGAAGATATTACATTAAGACGAATATCAACTGTTAATCGACGAACAACACGTTTTACTTCTGACTGAAATCAATCGAAAATTTATTGTATAAAATCCAATGTTTATTTAATTAATTCACAAATCAAAAATGAAATTGTATAGTTTTGTGTATGATAGATAATGTATTATAATACAGATTCTTTCCTATTGTACTGTTGTTTTTTTTTGACAATATTGATAATAAAATTTTGTTCTATTACGAAAATGGTTATATATAGAAAAAAACAACAAATTGGCGCTTGTGTAAAGTAATATAAAGACATGCAAAAATATGAAAATTTTAGTCGACATCTTCGAGAGAAATATTCTACACGTGTACACATTGCTGAACAGATTATTGATCAAATGAAATATAACAATCAATGGTATGCACCATCCGCATGTATTGATAAGTTAAATCGTGCGAATATGATAAAAGCTCAGCAGGAAATATCGTTTTCATTGATATCTTATTTAAATAAATTCGAGTGTGAAAAATCGAATTCAAATGAAAACAATAAAACATTGGAACCATATTTTCAAGAATGTGTCTTAGCTGCAGGACGGATTAAAAACAATCGACGTTCTGAACGCGATCGACAGATTTGTTATGAAAATTTTATTTTAGCAGAAAAACTAGAACGTATTAAAAACCCACCTGGACGAATAAGCTCAGCGGAAGACTATCGAAATGATGGAAATAAATTAGTTAAGAAAAGATTTTCGGAAACTGTCATAATTTCTTCTCATTCGTCATCAACAATTAAAAGTAAAGCATCAGCCTTAGACGATGAAGATGATCAAGCAACAGCAGCTGATATTGATGTTGGTATGGACTATTATGATTCTAGATCACTACCTAAAAAACGAAATAAATCTCGAAAGAATCATAATTCGAATTGTGGACAATCAATGTCATTGAAGAACGAAAATGAACATGTGTATCAACATCTAAACAATATTGATATGCTAATGGTTAGAGATACTAAACCTCTGCCAAAACCGCAAAATTCAAGACATTTTTCTATCTGTATTCTTCCTCATTCGAATTCAGATGTTTTTAAATCAAAGAGCAATCATTCCCAGTTTTTATCAAACGATCCACCATGTGCATTTAAAAAAGAAGTTTTGTATGATTAGATTTTTCAATAAATGAGACAAACTACTGTGATATTTTACAGCAAGTATCTATATCTTATCTATGTTAGTCTCAAGCTAAGAATCAATTAATAATGAATGAAAACATCTGCCGTGAGGAATTAAACTTATAATAGACTACAAGTAGAAATCAATAAAATATGGATGTGCATATTTTAGTTGTCTAAATCATAAAGAGAACCATACAACATGATTTTGTCACTGATATCCTGGTTAAAACGGCGTCAGAATATTTTTTTATTGCATTCCATCAGCCACGTTTTTTTTATCTATATAATAAGTATGAAAATATTTAGATTGCTGGTATAATAGAAAAGAGTTGATCAACAATGACTTTAAATTCAAGTGAAACAAAAACTATTCTAATTGTTGGAGGTGGTTTGGGCGGATCAGCTCTTGCACAACTATTACAACAAGAACTATCGTCTTCGATTCAATCGGATCTGAAAATGGGTTGCATCGGATCTTACATGAAAACCGGCAAGAACCAACAGATTCGGTCGGATTCCGGGTTTCGGGCCGAGATTCGGAATCCGATCGTATCCTACTCTAGGATCCGATGCGCCAAAAAAGTCTGCTATACTCAACTTCTAAAAAGCTCTTTTGCACTAAATAGAATCTTGATATTTTTTTAAATTCTTCCGTCGGATCCGTCAATAGTTCCGAAACCCAGAGTCCAACTGGATTTCCTCGGTTAGTAAGATGTTTTAGAATCCGTTGTCGGATTAGTCGACCCGGGTATAGTCAATATCAATTGAAATTTGCAGATAAGTCTATGAAAATGACACTTGAATCCTACTTATGAGCATAATATGAACCCGGATGGTTGGTATCACTTGGAGACGTTCCCTCGTTAGGTTAAATGAGATTTAGATAAGAAACGCCCTATATCAAATTTATTTCCAATTCGTTCACTTTTTCATTTTAAAAAAAGAGCATTGTTCTTCATACAATATGGCCATTGGGCATGTCTATTCTAACAAACTGCGTATTTTCTATCAGTTATTATTCAAGTACACTATCATTAATCTTTACTTTCGATTTACACAAGTGCTGATCATGTGTCGTTATACAAAGGTTTGAGAAGAATTCTTTTTAAATGCTGTACCTATATGTTTGTATGTGTGGTACATTTGGCTATTGGCCTTTTTTCGACTTGCTCAAAAATTATTGCTCTTTTATACAGACAAAACCCATGTCGCACAAACCGATCGAAAACCGTCGGTTAGCCGCGGTCAATTTTTATAAAAATCGGTTAACCGCGGTTATTTAAGCCATTCTAGCGACTTTACAGCGTAAAAACCAAAGATTAACCGCGGTTAACCTCCCAGTTAACCGGAAAAATAACCGCCAGCTAGCGACATAACCGATGACTTATTCGGTTAACCGTTGGTTTTTACGCTGTAAAGTCGCTAAAATGGCTTGAATAACCGCGGTTAACCGACGGTTTTCAATCGATTTGTGCGACATGGGAAACAATTATTACTATTTATCTTAGAAAAATTTCTTCAGATTCAATTGTTTTCGTTGGTTTTACCCGTAAACATCTGATATGAGCAGCAATAACTCTACGACATATGGGGATATTGCCACGGTAAAGTTTGTTATAAAATGAAAAATGCGTGATTTTCTGTTAAAAACAAATTCAAATAATTTTAACGTTTACAACAGTTTGCATGACTGAATTAAATATATTTATTAATCTCAAATAAACTCTATTTTTAGGATACGCTTGACGATGACCAATTGTCATTGCATGGAATCATTGATCGCCAAAATTCTGATGCAGGTATAACATTAGAGGCAGCTACTGCCCAGGTCGACCATTCCGGCCATCGGATCCCGTTGGATACTCCAGGGAATATGCAGTAAAGCCACCATATCCTGCAGGAAATCACTGGAACATGGAAGCAGTATTCCGGTCAAGCATACGGCCGGACTTTTCAGGAGAATTCCTGCCAAGTTCCAGTGCTTTCCGGCAGGAATTGATCGGAAATCACCGGAAAAAATGCGAAAAATTTCCAATCGGAATACTACTTCGACAAAATCAACAGAACTACCCGAAACCGACCGTTTCCAGGCCGGAGTGTTCGACCTAGGTGCTAATCTACATGAAATTCAACGAATTGAAAATGAAAGAAGTCAACGTGTAAGCTGAAATTGCTGCTGTAAAATGTGGTCTCGCAGCGATAACAGATAATATTGATTCTCTACAAACTTGTCTACAAACCACACAAAATCAATTTGCAGTTGTACGTATCAATACTTCTTTCTAATATAAAATATATGTAAGCAAAACTTCAATATTTATTTACTAATGTTTCTCATATATAATTCTACTTACAGATTTGTAGCGGAGCAGCCATTGGAATAAGAGGTGCTACTATTGGCACCTATTATTATTTATATCATTAGAAAAAAACACTATTTATGATTCATTATGCATAGTTAAACATGAATTATTTTATTATAAAATGAAAAAAAAGGACTCTAAAGATTTAAAATTTATGAAAACTAACTGGAACTAAATTACTAAGAATTTCGATGAAATATATCAACCATTGAAATTTTATTATTGTTCTATGACCTTTATTATGAATCAGAATCATTTTTCGCAACTATAGAAATTTTGATCAAACAAATAGGTATTCTCTTGAATCTTATTGATCTGAAATTTTGAATAAAGAACGTGCTTGATTTTCATTATAGAGTTTTAGAAAATAAAACAGCTACAACATATTACACCATTAATGAAAAACAGAAGATTATTATTCAATGATTTCTCTTCTATTGTGTATGATGAATGGAATTGGCAGGCAATGTGCCTAGCTAGTAATCTTACTCATCGCAATAATCTAATAAAAAGGCAACAAATTATTTCATCGATTAGCTTTCACATTCTTATGAGATCATGCGCTTTTTCTTTGTTAATTCATTATTATGTAGTATAATGATTGGGTTTCTTTATTCAAAATAAAACAATGACTATATAATTATTAGGAAATGAACATTCGTTTTATTCTACTCACAAAAATTTATTTAAGAATCTCATTTAAAATAGCTCATATCAATATAAATTACACGATCTGCAGATATCGTAATACATGAAATTATCATATATAAAGCTCGACTCAAGTATATAAACACCAAAATATTTCGTTTGAATTTCATCATAAATGAGAATCGTTGACCAGTTTGAAGGAAAAATTTTGTTCAAAACGTCGTTCATCAAAAAAGAATACACACCCACACCCGTTTCAAGAAGCCCCACTGTGGTGGCACCGTGTGTCGTCACGTGTCTTGTTTCTCATTTTGAGCGAGTTTCTTCTTATGTTCTTCTTTCTCTCTCTCTCTCATCTTTATCGTTGTCTCTTTGCCTCGTTTAAAAGTTGAAATTCAATTAATTTTGTTCGGCGCGACTCATCACTTAATACATTTTTGTTTCTCACTCAGTGTGTAAATTACAAGAGCTTAAAGATATATAAAATACACTATTTG